GGGCTGCTCATCTCACGGTCAGCAATTCGAAACTACCAGTTGTTCCGCGGGAGAAAGATGAGGCTTTCTGCTCCTGTAAAGCTTTACAGCCTAGGAAACCCTGTACAGGGTCACTGTGAGTCGGAACTGACTCCACGGCACACAACAACAACAAAGAGACTTGAAGGAGCTCTGGTAGCATAGTGGTTACGAATCGGGCTGCTAATCTCACAGTCAGCAGTTCAAAACTACCAGCTGTTCCACGGGAGAAAGATGAGGCTTTCTGCTCCTGTAAAGATTTACAGCTTCAGAAACCCTGTACAGGGTCACTATGAGTCGGAACCGATTCCACGGCATATAACAACAACAACAACAACAAAGAGACCTGGTGTGGTACTGTGGGATAAAGCACTGGACCGCAAGGTCAGTTTGAACCACAAGGTCAGCAGTTCAAACTCACCCACTCCTTGGAAACCTTATACAGGGTTGCTATGTGTTGGCACTGACTTGATGGCACTTAACGACAACAGTAAGGAGTGGATGGAGAAAATGGGAGCTTAAGAAACCTCAAAAGTCCTGGTGTGGCACTATAGTGTAAACACTGGATAAACTATAGGACAAAACCAGGAAAGCTGATGATTCAAACCCACCATCTGCTCCTTGGAAACCCAATACAGGGTTGTTATGAGTCAGAGCTGACTTGACAGCATTTAACAGCAATAAGAAAGTGGTACAGCCAAGTAGTGAGGTCAACCTGACACAAGGTAACGGTTGTACAGACAGGAAGAGAAAAACACAAAGGCAGAAGTGATGTAAGCTCAAACAGGAAGTGATGTCTGAATAGCAAAGATGTTGTTAAGTACCGTGGAGTAGGTTCCAACTCATAGTGACCCTGCACAGGGTTTCTGAGGCTGTAAATCTTTATGGGAGCAGAATGCCTCATCTTTCTCCCACGGAACTGCTGGTAGTTTCGAACTGCTGACCTTGAGGTTGGCATTCCGACTTGTAACCACTGCGCTTAAGTATTGGGGTGAAATTGGAAGTGAGATCAAGGAAGCAGGAAGTGACGCACAGTCAAATAGGAAGTGACATTAGAACAACACAACAGAGTTTCAACAGGAAATGATGTTTATGTCAATCAAGAAGCAAGGGGCAAGACCAACCTTGGTGAGGTAGTAGACAGACTGCTGGAAGGTACACATGATGACTTCATCCATGAGGGCCATGGCCTCGTCACATAATTCCAAGTCATTGCAGAGCTGTGGGTCTGAGGACGGGGATGAGAATGAGAGGCAAGTAGGAGCCCAGGTTCCCAAATGAGGGGTGTGATAGGGGGCATGGTAGGGCTTGGGCCTGGGTTAGGGCTCACCCTCCTGGTCAGCCTCCTTCTCCATCTCCAGCACCTTTTCCTGCACAAAACTCAGCAACTCTGTGGTGTTGGCCATCCATAACATAAGCGGCCGCAGCTCCACAGACACAGCTTCTGGGGTCAGGGGCACCTCAGGAACCCCCTCAGGGTGGCTGGGGAAGGAAAAAGGAAGTGACCAACCCCCACTTCAGTGTTCAAACCTCAAGATCTGGTTTTGAGTTGGTGACTAAGACCAACCTCCATTTTACATCTAGCAAAGTTGAGTCCCAATGGAGAACAAAGACTTGCATTATGACATACATGGAGTGCACCCAGAATTTTATAGAAATCCCCTCCTTCCCTCCCCACCTTTCTCCCCAGGACTTCTCTTACTTCTCTGGCTGCCGGTCTCCAATTTCCTTTATCTTTTCCTGAGGAACAGGATGATCAGAATCAAGATAATATAGGAATCAGAGGAGGGGAAAGGGACTTAGGGGTTTTCCCAAAAGCATGTTTCTTCACATTCTCCCTGCAAAATAGACTCTACTCCCTCCAAACTATAGAAAAGGCCGACTCCCTTATCTTAGGCTTTCAAGAGGATTTAAGACATATCCTGCAGGTTATTGGTAGCGTGGTTACCAATCGGGCTGCTAACCTCAGGGTCAGCAGTTCGAAACTACCAGCTGTTACATGGGAGAAAGATGAAGCTTTCTGCTCCCATAAAGATTCGCAGCCTCAAGAGTCGCTATGAGTTGGAACCGACTCCACGGCACATAACCACCACCACCACCTCAGGTTATGAATGGTCTATCTCCTCAAGCCATCTTTTGCTCAAGTAGAGTTCCTTCTTACCCTCAAGCTCTCTAAACCTAGGTCAATAACATGGAACCTTTGCCCACATTCTGATGGTTTCACTTGTCACTTCCATCAGTCAGTCAGTGTGTGTTTCACCTCCTAGAATGGTTTTCTCCACTGTTGCTCTAAACTTACAGAACCAACGGGCAGCCTGCCTCACCTCTCTTAATGGTCTCCTTCCAGTAGTTCGCTCCCCAATCTCCCTGAATGGTTTCCCCATAATCCTACAGTTCTCTAGTTAGGTCTTCCCCTATTTTTCAGCAGAATGGTCAACTCCTCAACTCCCAGTATCCCATGAACCCTCCCAAGACCTCAGGAGAGGTAGTTTTCTCCTGCCCAGCTAAGAAATACAGGCTGAAGGGGGGCAGGGGAGGCTGGGAAAGGGCTTTGGATGCAGGTGAGGCTGGGCAGCGGTTGGGGCGCTCACCCAAACAGCCTCCTTGATGAAACGTGCCAGGCGGCCCAGCAGGCGCGGTAGGTGGCCCAGCTCCAGTTCTCGGGCCGAGTGCTGTACGCACAGCGCGAGCAATGTGGCTGGCCCGAGTGGTGGCAGGTCTCCCGCGCCGGCGGCTGCGGCTCGCACAATCTCGCCCAGCAGCGCCTCCTCCTCGCGCGGTCGGAAGCGCAGCACGGGATCGCGGCCATCCAAGTAGGCCGCCAGGGCCTCACCGCGCTCCTGCAGGCCGCGACCGCACAGGCGGCACGAGAAGGCCCAGCCCGGGCCTGGAGGCGCAGCCCCCGGACGTGCAGGCAACCAGGGCGGCCGCGCCAGCCCCGAGCCCCCAGCGCGGGGGTCTTTGTACATGAATAGGAAGTGGTCGCCCAGACCTAGCAAGTCGCCTGGGTGCAGCTCGGCCTCCCTCAACAGGAGGCACCCGTTGTGCGTAACAGGGGCGCCCCGGGATGGGCGCACTGTGGCTGGTGGCTCAGGGCCCGCGCGCACCGTGCAGTGACGCGGCAAGATGTCCGGGGCGGTGAGGAAGGTGTCCACATATAGCGCTGGGTTCCCGCCGCGGACTGATGAGTTCCCACCGCGGCCAAACACGTGCTGCTCCCGTGTCATCACATATACCACGAAGTCCTGGATGGAGAGTGAATATGTACTTGGAATGGGGAGCTTCCAAAGGATCCCTTGCCCAATTGATTCAGGGAGGTCTTCTTGGATCCCAATGGATTCCTCAATCACCCCCACCTCCCCTGAGAGGACTCTGTGAAAGGACCCATTTTCTATGGTGGATAAGTCCCACAGGGCCCTTCCCAAAGACTGGATACTTACATGGGTGTACTCTTTTCCGACATGGGTTCTACCATTTCCTCCCTCAAAAAGATGGAGGCTTTTAAAGAGATCTCCTTCCTCAAATGGACTCTCTCCTCTTGAATGGACTCTTCAAAGGCAGCCCCTTTCTACCATGGGCACTCCCATAACAGTCAGCCCAAGAAACGGGCGTTTCAAATGACACCCCCATTCCTTCCTAAATGGATTATCTCATTATCCCCTCTCTCCAAGAATAGATTTTTTTCTAATGAACTTATCCTTACCCTACCTACCCTATGAGGAGCTCTGGTAGCGTTGTGGTTAAAAATTGGGCTGCAAACCTCAAGATCAGCAGTTCAAAACTACCAGCTGTTCCATGGGAGAAAGATGAGGCTTTCTGCTCCCGTAAAGATTTATAGCCTTGGAAACCCTGCATAGGGTCACTATGAGTCAGTACCAACTCCACAGCACGTAGCCACCACCATGATGGGCTTGCTTCTAAGATGCTTTTCTCACAACGGACTTACCTATTATCCAATTCCCATGACAGAAACTTCCAAAGTCATTTCCCCTTCCAATAATACTGTCTATATTCCCAATGCAGGGAACGGATCTCTTTAAGGAGATAACTCCTCTCCAACCCCCCTCCTCCTCCCCCACATACACACTTTCATTCTCTCCACTCTAATTCATGAGATCCCCTTTCTACAATGGATTCCATTTTTAGTCCTACCATGGACTTGATTGCTGTATTACTACCATTTCCAAGATAAAGACTTCCAAAAATACTCTCCCCTTCCATCAATGGATTCTGTCAATATTCCCATCCCCCAAAAGAACATCTCCAAAACACAGGAAAGTTCACTGTAAGATCACCCTCATATAGTGAGTTCTAGCAATCCTGTCATAAAGAATTTACAAGATTTTCTTCTTAGAGTGGAATGTCCCATTTCACCCATCAAATGAAGAGATGTATTCCAGAAGCTCCTTTATAAAAAACGGACTCTCCCATGCACATTATGTACCTACCTCTCACTTAGCTACATGATTAGGATCTAAAGATCTGCTTGTTACGTGAAAATGCAGGATGACTACAACATTACACAACTACCAAACCATTGACCATCATGGCCCAATCAAGTTGATACACAATCTCCTTAGCCATCACACAGAGCCAGTGTTACTCTTGCCTCATGCCTCAGTATTTGTTACTGCCAGATAGACATTGTTAATTTGCAAAATAGTGAGTAGTAGATTTTTTACTATTGGTATAAATGCAAGATGTGGGATAAAGCTAGTCAGTTAAGTGAGGAGTAGGTGAATAGAAACGGAAGACTTGCCTCCTATTATTCTCCATGCACGTCTGAAAGACTAGGCATCCTGATTTACATAAATCCCCTTTCTACACTGATTTCTTCCATTTCTGGTCACTCCATGAGTGGACATTCCTAAAGAGAACCCTTTCTACAATGAAGCCACTTTTTACCCCTTCAGAAAAATGAATGCTTTCAATCTTACTACCATCTTAAAGTAGGATGTCCTGTTCTTCTTCTCTGTGCCAAGGAAGGACATTTACTGAAATATACAAGCTCTCTTTCTACAATGGACTTTCTTGTTTCCTAGACCAGGAAAGAATGCTTCTACAACATCCACTGTAAACACTCCAGTTCTCCAATGTTGCATGGAAAGATGGGCTGTTGCAATAAATCCACACCCCTTTCTACAATGAAATCTGCCTATTTCCTTAGTCCCAACAAGGAGGAATACATTGTTTCATTGAATTCTATTTTCTTACTATCTACAGAACCAAGCTGACTAACCTAATTGGATCCCTCTTTAAATAAAAAACAAACCTATCCGGACATATTGTCAGGAGGGACCAGTCGCTGGAGAAGGAGATCATGTTTGGTAAGGTGGAGGGTCAGAGAAAAAGAGGAAGACCCCCAGCGAGATGGATTGGCAAAGGGGCAGCATCAATGGGCTCAGGCGTGGCAACAATTGTGAGATTGGCCCAGGACCGGGCAGTGTTTTGTTCTCTTGTACATAGGGTTGCTATGAGTCAGTACCCACTCAGTGGCACCTAACAACAACAATCCAATAAAATCCACCACCTTCTAGAATGACCAGTTCCCATAGGCCTCAGCTTATCTGTTGAGCTTGACCATACCATTGTTACCCAAAGGTAGACATCATAAGATAATTACTCCATCATCAAAAATAGAAGAACAATTTCAGTAATACACTATTTTTCTATTAATAAAATAATTTCCTGATAACTCCCCTTCCCAATCACCAATCCCTAAATGCTGTTGGTGTTTAGTGCTGACAAGTTGGTTCTGACTCATTGATCCCTGTACAGGGTTTCCCAGGAACTGCTGGTGGGTTTGAACTGTCCACCTTGTGGTTTAGCAGTCCAGTGCTGATCTTACAGCGCCATGCCAGGATTCCATTCCCTTTAAGAAATGGATGCTTCCAAGGAGCTCTTCTTTCTCAGTGGACTCTCTCACTCTCCCTTGGCCTTCGAAGACAATGCTTTCCCTTAACTTTGAATGAATCGAATCATTACCTATTTATCCCTCTAGTGGAATTTCACATCCATCTACCTTCCACTCCTATCATTTCTTATAGTGGTATCTCCCACTCTGGAACCTTGCTGAAACCATATCTCCAAGGGTATTCAAGCTACAGCATTCTAGGAAATCAAGGGAGTTGTAGTTTTGTTGTCCTTCAATGGACAGAAGGTACTTGCAGATCTTGGGGTAGGGAGATAGATAGGGGAGGCACTTACCTGGGCGTCCTGGTAACCCTGGAGCAGCAGGAAGTAGGGGCGGTTGCTGGGGGCCTGAATGAGGCACTGGGTCAACTGGTCGTAGTCGCTGGGGTCCACTGGTCCAATTTGGGCGTCAGCTGCTCCTGGGGCCATACTCAGTGCTTGTTGTCTACGTTCCTGCTGCCGCCGCCTGCGACCTTGTAAGCTGAGCTCCGACACGCTGCGCCTCAAGGAGAGGTTTTCTGAGCGCTCCTTGCCCCCGGACCCTGCCGGGGTAACTGATCCTGAACTTGGGCCAGGACTGGCCAGGGCCGCCCCACCTGATGCCGCCCGAGAACGGTTCTTCTGTGGCCGCCACGAGGGGACGCTCGTGCCTAAGAAGAAAGATGGAGAGCCGTGAGGCTGAGAAAGCAAACAGGGAAAAGCAGATGAGGGAGATGGAGCATTTATATAAAGAGAAATAGACGTGTCCTCAGAGAAGTGAGGCGGATTCCGATATTTAGATTTTTGCATAGGCTATTCCCTGTAATAGAGTCCTGGTGAGGCACTGTGGGCTAATGCATCAGACTGCAAAGCCGTTTGAACTGCAAGGTCGTGGTTCAAGCTCAACAGCTGCTCCTTGGAAACCCTATACAGGGTCGCTATGGGTTGGAATCGACTCAACGGCACTTAACAACAACAACATTCCCTGTAACTGCGTCCTACCTGACACCTACCGACCCATCCAGCAATTCTCATTTCATAACTTCACTCATTCTTTCAGCAAATATTTATTGAACACCTACTATGTGCCAGGCATGGGCGCTTGCTTCTGTAGTGAACAGAGAAGACCTTGTTCTTGGAGAAAACAGCTCTTCCTGAACACTTTTCTTGACATTCTGATTTGAGGTGTCCGCGGCTATGCTCAGCATCCTGGGCACATAGTAGGTGTTGCTGAGAAGAATGAATGAACTGATGTGGTTCCCATTAGGCGATCTGATCTGGGAGGCCAGGGACCTCACCTGTCAATGTGTCTAGAATTTTGCTGAGATTAACTGGCAAAGAACATTTGAAGCTTGAGTTCAAAGTCCATGAGTTTAACTACTATACCACTCTAACCCCTCAAAGACCCAGAAACAACAACAAAAAACATGTGAGTAAACTTCTTGAATATCGCGTGGCACTAAGTGGTCCAGGACTCACCCCTGTCAAACTACCTACTGCCATTGGGTGGGTTTTGACTCATGGTGGTACCTACCACATGCTACAGAGGAGAAGCACTTCATAGGAGGGTTTTCTTGACTTTCATCTTACGATCAAACATAGAAACGAGTATGAGACCAGAACTACACAGGGACACTATGAGTCAGAATCAACTAGATGGCACTCAATGCAACAACCATCTTTGTGAAAGCAGATCCATCAGGTCTTTCTTCCGTGGGGCAGCTATGTGGGTTCTAACTATCAATCTTTGGTAGCTGAGCATAAACCATTTGCCACCTAGGTTCCATCCAATCCTTGCCATTTCCCTATTGGCACCACCCAGGTCCCCATGTGTGGCGCTGTGGGTTAATGCGCCAGACTGCAAAGCCATTTGAACTGCAAAGTCGGCGGTTCAAGCTCACCAGCTGCTCCTCGGAAACCCTATACAGGGTCGCTATGGTCAGAACCAACTCAACAGCTCTCCTCAGCTGCAGCAACCTAACCCTCCTGGGACCCTCTATAAATACTTTTTTCTCTGACCCCTTTTTCTCTCTAACATGCTTCTTTCAAAAACTTCCCCGCGGCCCCACCCCACCCCCCAATGTAAGCACCTGCTTTTTGGAGCTCTCTGAAGCTACAGTAGCATCTTTTTTCCTTCTAGTGCCACCCACTCTTCATCTAGGCACCACCCACATAGCTTCACCCACCAATCATCGCCACTAGCTACAGGGACCCCGACTCTGAGCTCCCTCACATCTGCCCAGCCCCATATCGCAGGCTCCCTGCTACTCAAGCCCCGCCCCAGCAGGACCCCTAGGACAGGCAGTGCCATTGGGTCCACCACCCCTTTCTCCCAGATCCCAGAGCACACCCCACCTGGCCCCCACATCCCGCCCCAAGTCCAGTCCTCAAGTCTCACCCTTCAGGTCTCACCGGCCCCGCCCCTCTAGCTCGGGGACCCAGTCCCCCAAGCTCACCCGTCTAATCCCACGGGCCCCATCTCAGTACCTCTTCCCCACCACCAGCTAGCTAGCCCTTCCTCCCCTCTCGCTTACAGAGCCCGAAGCCCAGAATCGCGCGGCTCCGCCCCGCCCCGCCCCACCACCAGACCCTTCTCCGGTATGTCCCGCCCCTCCATCAGGCCCCGCCCTCTCACCATCGTTATCCGCAGCTCCAAAGACTTCCAGCTCCAGGCGGCGCGCCTCCTCGCGACCGCGCAGCTCAAAGCGCCGCACCCAGCCGGGTCGCGCCCGCCACAGCTCCTGCACCAGCAGTGGGCGCTCGGCATCGCCCAGCACTCTCAGGTGCTCTGCCCTCCACTCGCCGCCACTGCCTGCCGCCTGCCGACCGAGCGCGTCACAGAGTGCGAAGGCGTCTACGCAGCTGCTCTCGCCTGGGCCACCGCTAGGGCTGCTGGCCAGCCCGTAGCGCTCCAGCGCCTCGGCCACGAGCTCACGCGCCGTGGAGCGAGCAGTGGCCAGCACGCTCTTGTAGTTGGCGCCCGACGCCAGCCCGGCGCCGAAGATCTTGAGGACCCCGGGGGGCGCCGTGGCACGGACAGCCAGAGCCGGTTCGGGAGCCAAGCCAGCTGCCAACTCCGGCAGCTTCTTTTCACTGGCCCAGCGCTGCGCGCCCCCTGGAGTCCCCGGGCCGCCCGCGCCACCGGATCCCATGGCCCCGGTACCCGAGCCTCGGAAGAGCTGTGAGATGCGCTTGGCGCGGCTACCAGAGGCTCCCCCGGCCGCCTTGACCGCGCCCACTCGCCGCAGCTCCACGTGCGGCGGCGGCGGGGGCAAGGGCTCGCTGCTGCGGCTCCCCGTGTCCGAAGATGAAGACCTGGGAGCCCGCCGGGATACAGAAATACCGGAGAGGGAACCCAGAAAGATACACAGAGATGAGGGAGAGTGGGTAAAGACACAGAAGTGGGGCGGGCAGAGACCCACAGAGGATGCAGAGACCAGGTCAGAGATGTAGGAAAAGAGGAAAAGAAAGATAAAATAAATAAAATTGAGCCCCACAAAGGAAATTCCAAGAGGTGAACAGGGAGCGGAGGAAGGAAGGTGAATCAAGCTCTTGCTCTCCGTGTCCCCACCCTGAGCCCATGGGGCCAACTCAATCTCCAAGCCCAGGGTTTCCCCACGCGCCCTCCGATGGCTGTTTCCAGCTCCGTTTCCTTGCCCACTAGTTCGAGTGCCCACTCAAGACAGGAACCAGAGCCCACCCTTAAGGGGACCTGTCATTACCCAGGGGGACAGGGGCTAGATTTGGGAGACAGTGGACACTCACTTGACAGAGGCAGCGCTGGGCCAGCGTCGCCCCAGCTTGGCAAGCTGCTTCCTGGGGGAATTGATCCACAGGCCCACTGGGAGATGGAGCTTCCCGAAGCGTGGGCTTCCGCCCTCCTTCCGTTCCCCAGATAACATTGCCCTAGGGAATGTGGATAGGACCCCAGCTCCTGAGGCCCTGAGCAGTGGGGATGGGGTAGAAGTGGTCAGTGGGAAGGGGGGCTGGGGCTTAGCGTCCTGGTGATGGGAAAGACTAGGGGACCCCAGGGTCCTGGCAGAGGAGGGAACAGGAGAGGGCTGCGGACCCCTGATTCTCAGGGGAGGAGAGATCTGGATTCTTGGGTCCCTGGTGCTTACCCTCTTTCGGGTCCCGGCAGCACTCGGGAGCCCTGGCTCCGATGGCCTGGGTGGTTGAGGATCCCACAACTGGGCTTCGGCCCTTGCCTCTGCCCCACCTCCCAGCACTGGGTGGGGGACAGGAAAAGGCCAGAGGAAACCCGGCAGGAAGAGCGGGGAGGGGGCGTCCTGTGAGGGGACCAGGCCTGGGGGAGGAGATCTGGATAAGGCTGGCCCTGCCCCATCAAGGATTCTCAGTTGCCCCCCTCCGGTCCCTCCAGGATCCAGGTGTCCTTGTCCCCAGCCCCTCCTCCCTCAGGCAGAAGACCATCCTCAGACCTCTCCCCTCTGGGAACCAAAAGTTCGGCACAATCCGGTGAAGTGAGTCAATAAGATAAATCTTTATTGTTTCTTTCATTCTGTGGCCTTTTTTGTTTTTGGAAACCTGGGGTTGCTGCACGGCCCCCTTGTCAAAGCAGAAAGGTGTTAGGCTTCTAAGGATTCTGGGTCCTTCTGAGGTCGAAGGAAAAATATCCTGGAATAACATGCAAATAAATAGTGGAACCAGATGAGTAGAGCTCTTCCCAGCATCTCAATGTGAGTTTATTCTAGCGAGTCTCTCCCTCCCAAGCATGTCCACCCCATCTCTAAGTAAGCCCCACCCTGTCATGTAAAGTCTGTTCTAAGTGGCTGTGAGACCCCTTCCGGATCCAGGTGTCAGGCAGCCCCACCCCTGACTCCAAGCCCCGCCTCCTTCAGCTGGTGGCTCACACAGTCCCAACGCCTGCTATCACCACGACAATGCCCGAGATCAGTAGCCATATGAGATGGCGTTTCAGCCGCTTGTCGGGATTTGACGACTGATGGAGTTTTGTGGTTATGCTGTCGTTATTTGGATTTGTGGTGGTCCGCAATGTTTCCTCCTGGATTCTTTTGGGCAAAACTGATAAGAGGAGAGTCAGGGAGAAGCGCCATCCAGAAAAGGGCACGTGAAGGTCCTATTCTGGCAAAGACAACGCCCCCAGCCCCTCCCCAGCCAGGCTTCCAACTGCTCAAAGCCTCACGAACCTCAGAGGAAAAAAGTCTTGCCCCTAGCCAGGGATCCTGCCCTCAAGCCTGAGACCCCTCCACGGAAGTTGACCCCATCACCCAGGCCCATGAGTCCTGTACTATTCTCAACCCAACTGCACTGACCTTTGACGCGAAAATAGATGATAGTGGCTGGACTATCGTTCACAGTGCCTAGCTCGCAGCGGTATTTGCCTTCATCCTCTGGGCTCACCATGGACTTGGCTAGAGTGGGCTGTTTTCCCTTGGACACCAACGTCTCTGTTTTGTTCTCCCAAACCTAGACCCAAGCCCAAGGGGTCACAGAGATCAGGAGTTGGGGTTCAGGGGTGAGAAATCATGGGACCTCAGCAGGAGTCCAAGATGTCATTGGTCAAGGGCCTGGGTCCGAGGGGGTCAGTGGAGGGTAAACCTGGTAAGTCATAGTCATGGGCGGTCATGGATGCAGGGCAGTGTATATAGGGGCCAGGAAGCTCACACAAGATTGGTGGATTTAAAGTTGAATTGGCTACCCGGTGAGAAGGCCTACCCTGTAAAATTTATAATCAGTGAGGCCTTGAGAGGAACGATGCCAGTTGAGTTCACAGTCTAGGATCATATCTTCCATTTGATGAACCTCGATGTGGCGCTCTAGGAACAGAGAGTTACTGGAGGAAGCTCCCCTTTGAGATTCTTTGCTCCTTTACACCTGGTCTTGGGCCCTCCTTCTCTGATACTATTTCTAGTCTGGTGGTGGTGGATCCGACTCATATAGGCTGTACATTTTATGGGAGCAGAGAGCCTGATCTTTCTCTCACGGAAGGCTGGTAGTTTCGAACCGATGACCTTACGGTTCACAGCCCGATTGGTAACCACTACGCTATACTATATCAGAGATCCTTATTTCTAGTCTAGGACTCTCTTAACTGGCTCCAACCCTCTTGCGCTAATCCCACCTCCCTTGTAGGTCCAGCTCTCACCCCCACAATCTTTGGACTTCCGACAAGCGTGAACCTGTTTCTCGCAGGCATTGCACCAGATCAGAGTTTGCAACATCAAACCTGAACAGGCAGGGTCAAAAGCTTGTCAGTCGCCTTTTAAGAAATGAAGTTTAAAGGATATGGGCGGGGTCAAGCGTCTAATCCCTGGGAGTTCAGCCCGAGGGGCGGGGCTAGGACTCAGCCCAGTAGGCAGTGAGAAGGAATGAGAAACAAAGTGTAAAGAGAAAGTGACCCGCTCCCTAAGAAGTCCAAAGTGAAAAAAAGATCTAGGAAATTTCAACTACCGAAACCCCAAAAATAGGAAGGGGAAAGGTTGGGGGCAGGAACTCACCACATTTATTGGGGCAATAAACTGCCACGGAAAGAAAAAAGAGAAAGAATCAGATTCTAAATTAAAGGGAATGGTAGCAGGGGCAGAGGAAAAAGCTGGGGGCTCGAACTGTTGAGTTCTATGGAGGAAGGGCCTGGAAACTTAGGCTTTTGGGTCTGAGGCTCGGGACTCCTGGGTCTGAGGGAGGAGGGCCGGGGACCTGGATTCCTCCGTCTGAAGGAGGAGGGGTTGGGGACTTGGACTCCTGGGTCTGAGGGAGGAGGGCTGGGGGCAGGACCCCAATCTCTCACACTCTCTTATGAACTGAGCAGAGTCTCGGGCAAAGCTCTCCTTTTGCAGGTGCACCATCCAGAAAAGTTCCTTCACAAAGAGTTCTCCTAAGGAGAAGCAAGATGTCACAGAGCAGTCCTTCCTCCCCCGCCCCCTTCCCCGGAGCGAGGTGCAGGAAGTCTGCCTCTGTCTTCAGAATGTGACATTCTACTTGTGGGTCTTCTTAGGGAAGGCAACTGAATTATCTTGGGATAATTCAGAAGCAACGGTTAATCAGTTCAACCCACCCAGTGGATGCCAGGGAAGAAGAAAACCAACTGACCGGACTCCTAGGGAGGAAGCTTTTTAAAAGTTCATGGGAAAATGGAATTAGAAGATAATGACATTTCCCCAAAAACTATTTGAATCCCCATACATTTGTGCCCAGCAATACACATGTATTAATTATTTTCATTTTCACAGTAAACTGAACGGTGAAGGCTGCTTTACTATGATCTCAACTATAGAGCAAGGTCACACAGTGACGCTAGACTGGCTCCAGAGCCCAGGATCTGATCACCACCGGAGGCATCGCCAATCTCACTTCTCTTAGTGATTCCAGACTCCAGCCCTCCCCTACCCCATGTACCGTTTTTGTTTTTTTTAAACGCTTTTTATTGTGAATTGAGTGAAGGCTTACATAACAGATCATCAGTCTTACAATGCAACAGATCATACGCTTTGCTTCATTACAATGATTGCAATCCTCCATGTACCATCAGTTCATAGTATTTACCTCTATTCACTTTAACTCTTGCATCCCTCCTTGTGTCTTCGGCTACCTTCATCTTTCCTCTGCCAACCTCCCTCTCGTATATTGCCTGCCCAGTTACCCATATTAACATCTACCTTTTACCCTAGTGTCCATGATGCGTTTCAAATCCATCAAAAAACTCCAGGCTGACTTCTGCAGTGTGAGCTCATCTGTGGAAGGAGATACCCGTTGAAAAACAAATGTGGTGAAGTCAATTACGACCCACAGTGAACTCATGTAAAGCTGCCCCATTGGGTTTCCTAGCTGAGGCTATAATCTTAGGGAGCCTACTACCACATCTTCTGTGGCGCAGGCTGTGGGTTTGAACGGGCGTTTTATCACTGAGCTAGTGAGGAGGACTCCTTGTGGAAGAGATGATGATGTGCCATCGGAGTCAGTTCCGAATAATAGCAAGAAGTGGTTGGTGGTTTGAACAACTGGCCTTATGGTTAGCAGTCCAGTGCTTATCCTACAGTGCCACACCAGGACTCCTGAGGGGGTAGATAGAACCGCAGATTTCAAGCTCATTGGCTCGCTTAGTCTTAGAAACTACAATACCCATGAAGCTGTTGGGCAGCGAGAGACTTAAGGGATCGGTGGGCGGTGACTTCTGGGAAATGGCGTTTTATTAAATGAAACTGCAGACTACAACTTGTGGGGAACACAGTATTTGGCTAGCCCTGGTGAACCTCAGAATCTGCACCCCACCCTTTCCTATTCCCGGAAGCTTCGGTGATCCTCCCCTTTGCCTCGTTCTCCTTCCTAAAACATGCGCCCCCCTGCCCCCCATTTTCAAAACCCAGGAGTCCGTGCGCTTCCTTGCCCTCACCAATGGCACCTATATAGGTTTCACCATCAAGTGGCAGTTCCTTGAAATCCCGCACTGCGTTCTCTACCCTTTTCATCAGGCTTTCGCGAGCCTCGTATGGCAGGTGTCCAGGCAAGTATTCATGTTCCAAGTTCTTCAGCCCGGCCACTACAGAGGGCTCACAGATAATACAGCCGTGGACAGGAAACAGGTAAGCGGCCAGAGCCACCACCAGTCGGGGAAGCTGTGCTGCCATTGTGGCCCGAGCGCTTGATCTGCAGAGATTACCCCCACCCTCACCTCAGGGAGGGTCTTCTCAACCCAAACTGAGGAAGCCAACGCTAAACAGAAAGAAGCCAAACAAATCCCTCTATTCAAGGGATCCCCAAACTGTCAGAGAAAGAACTTTCAATGACTCCCAAATGAAGAAGTTAGTTCCTTCAATAAATACCTTCAAAGTGAGGAACAAGAATGAATTGTCAGTCCAGAGGCCCTCAAATGTAAGGTTCTCAATCATTTCTAAATAAGAGACCTATTAAACAAGAGATACTCACCGAACCTCAAAGTGAAGACCCCAGACCCCCATCCCGTGCAGGCTTCCCCAACATCCACACCACAGGATCTCCAACTCCCCAAATTGTTGTCATCTTCAACTCCCAACCTTAAGTTGATCGACATTGTGGCTTTTGTTAGGTGTGTCCCCCCCATGTAGTAGAGTAGAACTGTCCTATAGGATTTTCTTGGTTATAATCCTTATGGAGGCAGATTGCGAGGTCTGTCTCTCATGGTGCCGCTGGGTGGATTCAAAACGTCCACCTTCTGGTCAGCAGTCAAGCGTTCAATCGTTTGCACCACCTGGACTCCTTGGATCAACACTGAGAACAAGTCACCCACAAGCCCCCACAATCTGTTGCACTAGAAACTGAAAACTCAATGCCCAAACTAAATACTTCAATATAGAACCAGCCAGGATATTATTATCAAATTCAAAATTCCCTCAAAATCAAATGTACTCCAAGTCCCCCAAACCCGGGAGGTCTACAAATTTAAGACTTCAAATGATTCTCCAAATTCAGGGGCTCTTTTCCACCCTTCCTGAAGACTAGGGGACCCCAATATACAGGACGCACCTTTCTTCTTAGGCAGTGAAGAACCCTAAGGCACCCTCAAAAGCGGCTGCCAGACCTTGGATCTCTGTTTTGTCCGCCAACACTAGGGTTCGCTGAGAAGCCAAGTCCAGATTCTGGGGACTTTTAGAAAAGAATCTTGGGCCACGTCTATTACTTTCCCACGACTAAAATGAAGGATTTTGTTGGGGGCGAGAGTGAAGTCGGGCACGCTATATCGAAGACTTTTCTAGTGGGGTCAGACACGGGTTGCGCCTCTGCAGAGAGCTCCTGGCAGCCTCCAACTAATTTTCCTACGTGGGCCCCTCCCGAATATCCAAAACATGCCCAGAAGCCCAACTCTGAATCTGATTGGACCATAAACAAGGTGCCGCTATTGCGCCATGACGTCACAGAGGCGACCGTCTTTTCAAACAAGAACATTCTCGGCATCAGCCAAAGGAAGTCCCCAGCTAGTTCCCGCTTCCCAGGACCAGTTTTCGACTCTTGGCCCCAGGCTATCCTCTACAGGCCGCTGACCTCAGAAAACGCAGAGTGGCTGTTTCTTGCCATAGTACTACAACTCCCAGAAGACCATGGGTTACTTTCTCGAGAGCAGACGCTGCAGCCCTCTCCATAACATGATGGGAAATGCAGTTCAAGAATTATACTCAGCCTTTTATTCCTCGTTTATAGGGCTGCATGCCAAAGCCCCAAAGGGGATCCAATACCAAGGGTTCTGGAGAAAAGAACTAGAACCCCAGACCTGTGGATCCTAGAAAGCTATGCCCCAAAACTACCAGCTGTTCCGCAGGAGAAAGATGAGGCTTTCTGCTCTTGTAAAGATTTACAGCCTTGGAAACCCTATGCAGGGTCACTATGAGTCGGAACTGACTCCATGGTACTCAACAACATGCCCCAAATAGACAATTTGCAAGTCACTCAAGTCTAGCAGCAGAGACTGCAGCAGGTACAACATTCCAAAACACAGTGGGTAACACTCCCGTCTTCATCTTCTCTCTCTCACATACACACACACTTCATCTTGTCTCTCACACACACCTCCCAGAAAGATGCAGAAACTAAGGCTGGTGATCTGGACTTTTAATTTTACATCTCCTAGTTCCCACCTGTGGCAGCTGAGGTGGGAATAATTCCCCCCACCAACACAGACACACACAAACTTCCTGAGAAGACACAGGGGCTTGGATCCTTGGATGGGAGAATAGGGGATACAAGAAAGATATCTTCATCCTACAAGCATCCTGGTAGCACAGTAGTCAAGCACTCAGCTGCTAAGCAAAACATTGGCAGTTCCAACCCACTCATTGGATGATGTAGCAGAACACTTTTTTCCCATAGGGTCAGGGGTTCAAACTTAGCAGCTGCTCCTTGAAACTCTATCAGGGTAGCTACGAGTTGGAATTTACTCGAAGGCACTGAACAACATGGGGTCAAAATGGGAGCGAGTTGGTTTTGAGGGATAAGCACTGGACTGTGAAACCCAGGGTCGGCAGTTTGAGCCTATCAGCCACTTTGTGGGAGAAAGATGAAGCTTTCGATTTCAGCAAAGATTTACAGCCTATACAGGGTCTTTGAGTCAAAACTGACCCCTTGGCAAGGGTTTTTTTGGTGTCCTCCCCAACCTTCATCCTCCAAAATGCAGCAAGGTGTTCCAGAAACCTGATTCCAGAATCTCATCCTCCTTGACCAGGACCTGTGTCCCCCACACCCACCTGGCTTGGGGTTGGACCCTATGCCAGCATACCTTTGGATTCTTTCATTTTGGACTTGCCCAAGATAGACTGAACAGTTCTGTGAATTCATACCAGTTGACAATGGTATTGGCAAGGGGGCAAACAGTACCTATGCCTTTTCAAATACCCAGAAGGAATGTTTCTGTTCCACTGACTCCCAGAAAACAGATTCCGTACCCCCAGCTGCCCAGCTGCAGAAAAAGAAAAATTTCCTTTAATGATGCCAGGCAAACTGAACTCAAAGCCTAAATGTATAATATTCCAGCTCTCAATAAAACAATGTCCTGAGATCTCCAGAAAGATCACCTCTTGAAACTGTTTCATTTAAGTAGCCAATTTCATGCTGCCCCCTACAAAACCTGGATCTGCTAAAAACAAATTTAAGACCAACACTTCAGGGCTGAAGGGTTAGACAGAGTCCTGCCCTGCTCACAGGCGGCCCTAACTTTTCAAGAGCCTGAGAGCTGACCAAGAAAGATGCTAGTGAACTAAAACCACAGAACCAAACCATTGCCACTGAGTTGATGTGGACTCATAGCAACCCTGTAGGACAGCAGAATGGTCCCATAGGGTTCACAAGGCTGTCAATCTTTACAGACGCCAACTGCTACAACTTTCTCCCGTGGAGTGGCTGGTGGGTTGGAACCAAAGTCTTTTGGTTACTAGCCAGCCAAATGCACCACACCAAGGCTCTAGTGGGTCAAGGAAAAAGTTTATCTTCCCTCTCAATCTTCCTTGCATTGGTAGCATGTTAACCTTCATTAAATTCTTCCTTGAAGTTATTTGGAGTTCATTCTTTCTGGACAGGTTCTACAAGGCCATTCTACAAGACCTGGCCCTCTTTAGGGCAAATCCCCGCTAGAATCATCTCACAAACATGGAGGGAAAAGCTGAGATCAGCAGGCTGTAAAGCAGTTAACAAAGGACTGGATTCCAACAGCCTTTCTAGGACTCAGGAGAGGGAGGACCACTTTTTCTAGCTAGCATGAGGATGGTCAACAATAGAGGCTTCCTTGCTTTCAGGGAGGCAGCCTTCTAGAAATACTCTGGATATGGACGGGAAAGAGCAAGTGGGCACTGTAGCTTCTCAGACTGTCATGAGCTTCTCCAGGGATTGCCAACCACCAGGAAAAAAATGTTCTGCTGGCTCTAGAACATTCTGGCAATTCCAGAAACCCACTCCCTTGCCCCGTCTCAAAGCCTGGCTAACTAGATTCATTCTGAAAATAGGTCGAGCAAGGGATGGTGGCCACCTGTTCCAGAAGTACCACATACTTCTCCAAAAGCTAAGTTTCAGGAGACGTATACTGCCGGCTCTAGATGAATCCTGCTAGTACGGAGTTTTTCCGGAGTGGAGACAGGTCTGCAGGAATGCCCACCCACTCAGGCAGGAAGGCGGCCTCAGGCCTAAAGATCTTCAGGAAACTAGAGTTTGGCAGGGTGAAGTTGGCCAGGTAGACAGTGTCTCCTCCAGCAAGGTAGGCAGCCCAGAAGCCAAAAGTCCCAATGGTCATGATGGTGTGGTTGCACTCCGTGAGCAATGCAAAGTCCCTTGCAGGGGAACCTTCGTGCCCATTCCCAGCAAAGATCACGTCTCCCCTGGACGTGTCAATATTCTCCTGGCACCAGTCCATGCCATTGCTGGTGACCACAAAGATGGGAGCCTCGTGCCGTTCCCGAAACCAGTCCATGGCCTGCTGGAGGTAGGCGCGGTCGGCCACCACACCCTTCCAGCGTTGGGGCATGACCTTCAGATAGTCCCCACGGCGCACGTGGACCCCTACAAAGGTGCTTGGGGTGGCCCTGGTGTGGCCCAGGCGGATAGACCTCAGCACGCTCTGGGCTTCCTCCCGAAGGTGCTCATGGAGCTTGAACTCACTACGGATCTTTTCTCGAATGTGGTGGAAGAAAGTCCAGGAACAGGGAAAACCAAAGAGCTTCAATTGGGCTTCTTCTAAATGACTGTATTCCTCCGACATCCAGTCATGAAGCTTCAGCTTTTGCCAAGAAATTTGTCTGTCCACCTCAGGCGATAGCACGGGCAGGGTGATTCGGAACACTGGGGCCAGGGTGTCGTGCATCGAAGGCAGAATGAAGGCCTGGCGGCCATTGAGCTGAGCCAAGGCTAACAGGGTGGCATACTGTCCCATCTGGTTACCAAGCCGGCCATCTGAGTAGATGGTCCAGGTTCCAGAGAGGGAGTCAGAGCTCTGGAGAGACGAATAGGAGGTGTTGGCAGTCACTGGTGTCCCTGAGAGACAGAAGATGGCCACTGGAGGCATCTCCAGGCAGGAGTAAGAATACAGGACAGACAAGTCTAGCCCATTGAAAAGGGTATCTTGATAGATGTGGAGGAAAAAGATGGCTGAGACCACAAAAGCGACTAGAAAGGCCAGACACAGATGACGTCGGCTGGAGGACCACATGGCTGCAGGGGAAGGAAAATGCATTAGCAGATGAATCTGAGCAGGAATCTCAGGGAGAAGGGGCTGGAAATCAGGGCTCCTGGAAGGAGGGGCTGGGACTTGGAATCTTGCAAAATAAGGATGGAAAATGGTGAAAATTATGGTTTCCCAAACAGTAGTTATCCTCTGCCCTTTTCTCCACTCTGCGCACCTGTACGGCCCCCCGAAGGAAGCCCTTTTTCCAGGTGTACCTATGTGAGAAGCAGAATCCAACACCGGGACGATAGGAAAGCGAGGGCTGGTGGTCCATCTAGGACCGCAGACGAAACCGGGCTCCGCGAGTAGTCGGAAATGGAGGCTGGTGAATGTCAGGCTTGCAAGCGCGCACTCCTGGGTCGGGCCCGATTCCCGGCCCCCAGAACCCCGCCGCCCACACTCACCCGACCTCCTGGCAGTGGGTGCTGGAGCCTAAGTGTGGCGTCCGCAAACCTAGGCCTCATCCGGCCACCTCCGGAACCCCGGACGCCAAGACCCCAAGACCGATAACCTAGTCTTCGTACGGCCTCTCTAGAGCAGGAATAGGGGAGGAGAAAGAGGGGGCGCGCTTGTGTCTCCGCCCTGGGAGGCAGCCGAGGCACCGCCTAGGCGGGGCCGCTCCGCCCCATTTCCTGGCGCTTGGTCAGACGCCTCTGGCTAGGAAGACTGCGGCCGCGCGGTCAAATTCTCAGGGTCCTGCAGCTCGCAGCTTCAACCCTTTCTTCCCCTGTCCCTGGCCAGCTGGGCAGAAATCTCCGCCCAGGCAATTTACCTAGCGGCCAGGTACCTGAATCCTTCTGGAGCCTTGGAGATCTGGATCCCAGCTGCAATTCTGGACCCAGACGCTCCGGTCCATCTTCTCCACTTAGGTGTCTGGGTTTCTCGTCCGCCCACGGTCCCCGTTTGCGCCCAGTCGGCCACTTAAGGGAAAATACCTGTGGCATCCTCCCAGGGGGGAGAACCCGCTTGCCCAGCTACTCCTGGTGCGGATGGGGACATCTGTTTCAGCTCCCAGGGACCCAGGCGTGCGAGTCTCTAACTTTCAGGTGGATCAGAGCCTACAGGGGCTGTTAATCTGCCATCCCCACCGAATCCATACAATTAAAAAAGTCCCAGTTCTCCGCCCTTTCTAGACTTTCACTAGTGTAACTCAAGACCTGCGGCCACGAGGGGCAGAGTTCCCCAGCTGACTTCTCCCCTCTGCTTCCATTGTCAACACTCGGCCTCTGCATACGCCATCCCCAGTCTGACCACTGCCCTGCCAGGTAATGCAAAAGGTACAAGAGTTGGGCTCGACTTGCCAAAATTTATCTCGAGTCTAAGTCCCATATCTGATGACTTACTTTGTTACCTCACTCAAGTCACACTGAAAAGTTTTATAATAATAATAACAGCCTAAGCCTCCAGCCCCCTCCTCCCTCACCCGGGAGTCCGACCCAGCCTCTATCCCCCCTCCTCCCTCAGACTCAATAATTCAACTTCCGCTTCCCTCAGACCTATGAGTCCAATCCAGGTACCAACCCCTCGGGTTTCAGACCCAGGCTTCCTGGTCTCAAGGAGTTCTGTTCCTAAGCGTCTTCAGGAGCCCCTATCCAAGAGTCCCAACCTTTAGACTCCTCTTTCCTCAAATCCAGAAGCTCAAGCCTTCAATTTTTGTCTCCTTCAGACCTAAGAGTCTAGGGGTGCTCCAGTCCCCTCCTTTAGCAGACCCAGAAGTTTGGGTCTGCAATCAATCCCCACCCCCACCCCCCTAGACTGTGACGTCCAGTCCCTGCTTCATGGAAGGCTTTCAGGAAGTTGGCCAACCCCTCTCTTGTCCCAGTTCCAGGGTCTAACGTCCCCTCCAGAGACTGGCTCAGATACAAACTCTGAGTCAGACTCTTGCTACTGCCTGCCTCTCCTCAGTCCCACACTCCACCCCACCCCACCCCCCGGGCTATTTTGGGAGCATCTGTCTGTAGGTCGGTAGCCTCTCTAGTGACAAGAGGCACCAGGATTGCATCAGAGGAGGAAGGCAGGCGTCCATGGGTCTCCACGTTGGACAGGGGTTGGTGAGGGGTTGGCACCAGCTCAGGTGAAAAAGGTTGAGAGCCCCCTCCCCGCCCCCAACACCACTGGCCTCTCTGGGAACTCTTCTTTCAATGGTAGTTTCTGCTTTCAGAAGATCAAAGAACATCATCATCATCATCATCATCATCAGATAGGATGCCTTTCATCCTACTTTCAGAAACATAAATATTCAGATGAAATGGAGAAAGGTCAACTGTGGAGCCAAAGTTCTCCTCAGTTAGCCAAGGAAAGGGTTTGATAGGATCCCAGCCCCCTCCTCCCTCAAACCCGGGAGGCCAGGTTCCAGTCCTCTCCTTCTTTACATCCAGGGCTCCCTAAATCTAGCCCCCTCCTCCTTCAGACCCAGGGGACCCCAAACCCAGCTCCTTCCTCCTTCAGACCTTGGAGCTTAAGTTCTAGACCCCTCCTCGCTCACACTCAGGAGTCTGGGCCCCCAACATCTCCTCCCTTAGGACCCAGGAGTTCAGGCCCCAGCCCGTCCTCCCTCACTTCCAGGAGCCCATCCTCCTTCATACCCAAGCATCTTGACCCTCAAACTCTTTCTCCTCCAACCCAGGAATCCTGATGCCAGTCCCAGTCCTCCAGCCCCAGAAATCTTAGCCCTCAGCTCCTTTCACTCCAAGTCATAGGAACCAAGTTCCTCAGACCCAGGAATTGGGGCCCCCAGCTGGAAGGACCCCCGATTGCATCATGCGTTCAGGCTGACCTGGGCCACGGTGGAATATGGGCTCCTGCCAAGTAGGTCAAATAGCATGGGTCAGGTGTGCGGAGGGTGATTGGGCGGGTCTGTCTGTCTAGATATAAATTCTGGAACTTCGGCATACATCCCAAGAGACTGGGTGTTCTGTCAAGCTAGAGGACCCAGGCATTCAGGGTACCCCAGCCACCAGCAGCAACTCCTGAATCTGTTCTTCCCAGCTTTGGAACCCAGCCTGCACCACTAGTTCCTCAAATTTCAGACCCCACACCTTACCGCAGGGCTGAGCTTTTGATGGGCTGGGCTGGGTCTGGGTCTGAGCACTTGGGACTGTGGGTCCCTGTGCTGGCTGTCTTTCTGCTGGGAGTCTGCGGAGCACACCCCATTCCTGACTCAAGCCCACTCCTCCAATTCGGGGGCCAGGTACGGCAGCGGTACCTCTACACAGATGATGCCCAGCAGACTGAAGCCCATCTGGAGATCAGGGCAGATGGCACAGTGCGGGGGGCTGCTCGTCAGAGTCCTGAGAGTAAGTGCAAGGCAGGGCTAGTCTTTGGTGGGGACTGGGGATCAGGACTCCTGGGTCTGAGGGAGGAGGAGGGAGCTGGGGACCAGGACTCCTGGGTCCGAGGGAGGAGGAGGGGGCTGGGGACCAGGACCCCTGCGTCCGAGGGAGGAGGAGGGGGCTGGGGACCAGAACTCCTGGGTCTGAGGGAGGAGGAAGGGGGCTGGGGACCAGGACTCCTGGGTCCAAGGGAGGAGGAGGGAGCTGGGGACCAGAACTCCTGGGTCTGAGGGAGGAGGGAGCTGGGGACCAGAACTCCTGGGTCCGAGGGAGTCCTCTGAGTTCCTGACCATTTTCTCTGATTAGGTCTCTTGGAACTGAAAGCCTTGAAGCCCGGCATCATTCAAATTTTGGGGGTCAAGACCTCCCGTTTCCTGTGCCAGGGTCCTGATGGGGTGCTGTACGGATCGGTAAGTTTCAGGGCCCCCTCCTCCCAGAAACCCTACTGGTTTGTGCTGGTTCCCCAGGAGAGGGTGGAGGAGAAGTGTGACCCTTGTTTGGGAGATGTTGTTGTTATTATGTGCCGTGGAGTCAGTTCTGACTCATAGTGACCCTGCACAGGGTTTCCGAGGCTGTAAATCTTTACGGGAGCAGAAAGCCTCATCTTTCTCCCACGGAACCTCTGGTAGTTTTGAACTGCTGACGATGAGAACCAGGAGGAGGTGAATGGCAGAGAGGCCTAGTCTTGGGGCTCTGTGACCCATGCTTCAGACCACACTGGCTCCTAAGTGCTGGGCTAATGCCTGACCTTGGAAGCTCGGGATTCCCATGGTGAAGTGACTGTGACCTTGGGTGGGAGCCAGCCCTTGTGTCCAATCTCATGGGGCCCTGGTGACTGGAACATTGTTCTCTGTGAAGTGGGAAGAGGACTGTGGGCTCTGAGAGTCTACACTGGAGTAAAGAAAGAAACTGCTTATGTTACTTTGTTTCCTAGAGGAGGGGGCTGGCCTCGGGAGACTTCTGGGTCTGAGGGAGCAAGGGGCTGGGGCCTGGACTCCAGAGTCCCCCATCAGAAGACTACTGAGGAATCCTGTTGTTTCTAATTCCTATTCTTTGTCCCCTCAGCTCCATTTTGACCCAGCTGCCTGTAGCTTCCGGGAGCTGCTTCTAGAAGATGGATACAATGTTTACCAGTCTGAAGCCCATGGCCTTCCACTCCGCCTGCCTCCCCACAACACCCCATACAGGGATCTGGCTTCCTGGGGACCAGCCCGCTTCCTGCCACTGCCAGGCTTGCTCCCAGAGTCTCCAGAGTCCCCAGGTGTCCTGGCCCTGGAGCCCCCCGACGTTGGCTCCTCAGACCCCCTGAGCATGGTGGGGCCTTCACAGAGTCGGAGTCCCAGCTATGCCTCCTGAAGCCAAAACCTCTTTATTTATTGGATTATTTATGTTATTTATTTTTTCATTTTTCTTACGTGGGATAATAAAGAGTTTGAGAGAGAAAGATCGAATGAGCACATATGTGAATGTCTTTGGGAAGATGTGCAACCTGATTCCTCATCCCCCATGAACCCCAAAGGCTCCTCCTTTGCTGTCAGGCTCTGATGACATTCCAGCCTCCCCTGAAGCTGTTTTTGGCCTTGCTCCAGTGTTTCCAGAGACTATGGACTCTTTGTATCTTTCAATGGCACAGACTTCTTTATCCCCCCACCTTGTGTTAGCATCACGGAACTATATTTCTAAACTCGCCACAATACTAGGGAGTTTTATATGCGTGACACTGAAGAGCCACACATCATGGGAGATGTACTTTTTAAAAAAATTTATTTAGCACAGAGCAAGGAAGTTTGGGCCCTGAGTACAGAGTTGGCATTAGGATAGCACTCTTAGGTCCTGAGGGACTGAAAGTTGGGCGTCTGGGTACTTGGGTCCCAAGAAAACAGAGAAATGAGAATCTAGACATTCTGGTCTGAGGGATGAGGGGGCTGGGAGCCCAAATTCTTCTATCCAGGTGTTTATGGACTTTGGAGCCAAATGACAATCTGGTAATGCCGGCCAGCCAGTTGCCAGTTCTTCCTTTCCTCCCACACCTACTTTCCCATATTGTTTTTCATTTACCGGTTGGGAAGGAAGTGAGGCTAGAGATTTGAACTATACTTCCCAGGAGATCATGAATCACCCTAGCTGTGTCCTAGGTGTGTGCTTTCCAAGGGCATGTGTGTGACAGAAACCCAGAGAAGGGGAAGACAGAGACCTAGAGAGCAAGGGGGGAAAGAAACCTGGGTTGAGGCAGTGGAGATCCAGGTTCCTGGGGGACATACAGGGAAAATGCAAAAGGTGTTCAGATGGGCACGTTTCATTATGCCTGAAGCCCCAATTCTGTTATGTCTCCTCTGTTGGTAGAATTACCCCCCTTTTCCTGGTCTGGGCAGGGTCACAGTCCCATTTAGGAGTCTTGGGGAAGGATCTTTCCTTCTAGTTTTTGGTGGCTCCAGGCATTTCTTCACTTGTGACACCATTTCTCCAATCTCCACTTCATCTTCCCATGATAGCCTTCTGTACCTAAGGATATTCGTATTGGATTTAGGGCCCAAACCCTAGGATGATCTCATCTCCATCCCTACCTTAATTCCTTCTGCAAAGACTCTATTTCCAAATAAGGTCACATTTTGAGATTCAGGGTAAATGTAGACTTTGTGAGGATATTATGAGTGAAGTTTTAGAATTTAACTTTAGCCAAAATAATTTTGTGTTTGTCCTCAGTTCCTAAGAGATCATTTATGTTGTTGTGAGCTGCTGTTGAATCCATTCCAACCCAGTAACTCACTTGCTTGTAGACCTGCCCCATAGGGTTTCCTAGGCTATATAACGGAAACAAATCACCAAGTCTTTCTCCCAGGGAGCCACTGGGTGGGTTTGACTGCTGAGCTTTCAGTTAACAGCGGAGCACTTCATCATTGCGCCCTCAGGGCGCCTTACATCATTCCTGTTGTTGTTGTTAGGTGACCTCATAGTGACCTTACATACAACAAAACGAAGCACTGCCTGGACCTGTGCCAACCTCACACTCATTCTATGTTTGAGCCCATTGCTGCTGCCACTGTGCCAGTCCATCTCATTGGGGGGTCTTCCTCTTTTTCACCGGCCTTCCACTTTACCAAGCATGATGTCCTTCTCCATATGGTCTTTCCTGACAATATGTACAAAGTACGAGAGATAAACTCTCGCCATTCTGGCTTCTAAGGAGCATTCTGGCTGTACTTCTTCCAACACAGACTTGTTTGTTATTTTGGCAGTTGGCGGTACTTTTAATATTCTTCTCCAAGATCGTAATTCAAATGCATCAATTCTTCTAAGGTCTTCCTTATCCATTATCCAACTTTTGCATGCATATGAGGCTTGGGTCAGGTGCACCTTAGTCTTCAAACTGACTTCTTTGCTCTTCAACACTTTAAAGAGGTCTTGTGCAGCAGATTTGCCTAGTATATCATTTCTACTACTACGGAATTTTGATCAAGCCTTAGACCTGAGGTGACTCTAGCGTGGGTGACTGGCCGGGCCAGAGGGACTTATCTTGCTATGATGACCTCATGTTGGTCAGGCCACACAACTCCTACTTCCTGCTGCCTCATAATCACCTGGCAATATCCACCCACCTCAGGGGAGAGGGGCTGGAGTTTGTATTAAGTCATGAGACTCGATAAAAGCGCTGGACATGGACGCACCCTGAGATTTCTGATCGGTAAAAGACATTCGTGCACACGAGAGGTTGACGCATGTCTTTTGGAGACAAGGAAGCCCTCTCTGCCCCTCGCCATTTTGGAAACTCTTGTCCTATTCATATCTTCTTTTGTACCCTTCCTTTTTATTTATTTATTCCAGTAAAGCTGTAATCTTAAGTATAGCGCTTTCTATTAGTTCTGTGACTTGTATCAGTGAATTATCAAACTCAAAGGAGTAGTGGAAGCCAGCAGGGAAGACGTGAGGGGGTCCCCTCCCAAATTTGCAGTTGGCTTCCTAAAGTTGTTGTTGTTGGGTGCTGTTGGGTCGGCACTGACTCATAGTGACCCTATGCACAACAGAACGAACTCTGCCAGGTTCTGCGTCATCCTCATAATTGTTGCTCTGCTTGAGCCCATTACTGCTGCCACTGTGTCAATCCATCTCATTGGGGGTCTTCCTCTTTTTCGCTGGCCCTCCACTTTACCAAGCATGAGCTCCTTCTCCAGGGACTGGTCTCTCCTGGCTTCTAAAGAGCATTCTGCTTGTACTTCTTCTAACATAGATTGGTTTGTTCTTTTGGAAGTCTATGGTACTTTTAATATTCTCTTCCAAATTTATATATAAACCTCAAATTTATAGCCAATAGCTCATAAGTGAGAGTCCTTGCTAACTGCAAGGTTGGTGGTTCAAACCCACCAGCTGCTGCTGAGGAAATCCTATGGAGGGTCGCTATGAGTTGGAACTGACTCTATGGCTCTAAACAGCAGCAGCAGCTTCAGAAGAGAGAGTGTCATGTGGGCTATTTGGTAGTCTGAAGATGATGTCCATCTAACTTGTGAATTCTGACCAGGCTCTGGGACACTAAATACAGAGAAAGAAGTGCTGTGTGGGCATCTGGTGTCAGACTGAACTGAAAAGTTACAAGTGGGGATATGCACTGACTACTCAGCTGTCTGTCTAAGACTCAGGCTTTGTCTGTTTGTTTTCTTAACCCTAAACAGCGCCAACTGCTTAAACCAAGTGGGGACCACGTCTGACTTCCTCTGACCCCACAAGAGGGAAAGAGGACCAAACTTAAAATCAGCCCAAGGATGACTCCTATGAAGTAAAGGTTAGCCACGTTTCCACGCTATATTGTTGTTGTTGTTGTTATGAGCCATGGAGTCAGTTCCCACTCATAGTGACTCTGTACAGGGTTTCCGAAGCTGTAAAACTTTACGGGAGCAGAACACCTCATCTTTCTCCCGCGGGACAGCTGGTAGTTTCGAACTGCTGACCTTGCAGTTCACAGCCTGATTCGTTACCACAACGCTACCAGAGCTCCTTTCCCATGCTGTATTGTTGTCAAGTGCTGTCGAGTCGATTCCGACCCATAGCGACTCTTTATAGGGTTTCCAAGGAGCAGCTGGTGAGCTTGAACCGCCAATCTTGCAGTTCAAATGGCTTTGCAGTCTGGCGCATTAACCCACAGCTCCACACCCTTTCAAATTAGTCAAACTTGAGAACCAATTTAGAAAACTCATCCTTATGATGTTGCTTCTCTAGAACGTCACAGGTACTGCATGCCTTAGGCTGGGTTTTCTATTGGGAACAGGCCACACCCCCAAGGAAGCATCCCTTCAATTGATTGGCTGTTCATAGCCAATCAGCATACAGTTAACCCCGTCTGTATTAGGTTTCATCACCATGGGAATAAGCATATCCCAACTACTAAACCTCTGCCTAGGAGTTCTGGTAGCTTAGTGGTTATGAATCGGGCTGCCAACTTTAAAAGGTCAGTGGTTCGAAACTACCAGCCGCAACACAGGAGAAAGATGAGGCTTTCTACTCCCGTAAAGTAAAGATTACACCCTCACCCTCGGAGTCACTAAAGTAAAGATTTACACCCTCACCCTCGGAGTCGCTATGGGTCGGAATCGACTAGACCGCACTTAACAACAGCAACAAACCTCTGCCTAGTCAAGCTGACACAGAATCTGAACTATTACAACTACTATTATATAATTTTACACACAAACCACTAATACCAAACATGAAGAAAATGATTTTTACCAACTTTGGTAAAAATTGATCAAACATGTAATCAAAATGGATTGACTATTACTGGTGACTAGAATGCAAAAGTTGCAAACAAAGAAGGATCCGTAGCTGAAATATAATAGCCTTGGTGATAGAACGGATGCAGGAGATCTCATGATGGAATTGTACAAGGCCAAGATGGATTGATAAAGCAGCTGCAACAACGGCTCAACCATAACAACAATTGTGAGGACCAGGCAGTGTTTCATTCTGTTGCACGTTATGAGTCAGAACCGAATCAAGGGCACCTACCACCAAGAACAATGATTTATAAATTGCAGATTCCTTTTTCAACAACAACATAAATGGTAACTATTCACGTGGACCTTGAAGAGTGGACTATACAGGAATCAAATTGACTACATCTGTGGAACGAAATGATGGAGACGCCAAATATCATCATTCAGAAGAAGGCCAGGGGCTAACTGCAGAACAGATCATCAATTGTTCATATGCAAGTTCAAATTGAAGCTGAAGAAAATAAAAACAAGTCTATGAGAACCAGAATATGACCTTGAGGATTTAGAGACATTCTCAAGAATAGAATGACAACTTCTTGATCTATGTACAGGTTGCTCATGAGTAAGTGCTCTGGAATTCTCAGTGTTATCCAT